TTTTTTTTTTTTTTTTTTTTTTTTTTTTTTTTTTTTTATATTCTTGCTTTCGCTAGCTTTGAGTTAAGCGTACTCTTGAAATTTTCAGACTTTATTAGAGAGGGGAAATCTTCATCTCTAAAAATCTTACGAAAAGTAGGTTTCATATTTTCACACTACTGTGTTTTTTCTGAAGTTTCTTGTCTATTTTTCGTATTCAACGAAAGGAGCTTACATGTTCATACCTTACATTTCATCAACAATAGGTGCTTACATGTTCTTTAGAGCATAAAACTCATTTTGGGTTCTCAGAGTTTCTAGTTTACATTGATGTGTTCTTTCGCTCTCTGAGCATTTTATGCACCTCGGGGGATTAAAAGATGAGTGTTGGGATTGTCCGTATCTCAAGCATTTGATGCATTTTATTGGCTGTTTCCATGGTTTGAATTTAGTGACAGTAACTCTGAACCAAAGCACGAGTCATAAAATACTCGTTCTTCTGCTGTGGATAGGGATTCTATGATTGACAGTTTTATCAGCAAGCCATTAGCTATCTTAGTGAACTGCTCCACTTTCTTGACTGGATATATCCTACGAAGAGAGTTTCTTTCAGTTATTCCCCTGGAATGTCAAGCTAAAGTTCCGTGAAACATCTCTTGTATCTCTTTTAGCAGGCTTCATAAATGTGTAAATTGCAGTTTCTAATACAGCCAAAACGTTTGTGACTGTACAATATGTTTTCTTCTGTATCCAGATATATTTGAATGGCACCGTCTATGACTTTTGCTTTGAAGTCATCGTCAATGCGTTTTACCAGCTTTTGCCTCAAATTTGACCAAGCAACATGCATGTCGGCGTAGTAATTGGCGGTATATTTTAATTTTTGTTCGTCTCTTACTCATTACTTTCTGTTTACATTTCTGCTTCTTCATCTTCAGATGATAGAAATTCATATTGTCTGTTATCCTCAAAGTTGGAAGTTTCTATTCCATATTCTCCAAGCTTATGGGTGCAATATTCATAGTATCGGCTGTTCTGAGTTTCGGTGTAGGTATTTTTACTGCAATCTTGGTTTCGGTCTTTGATTTTCGTTTTTCTTCTTTTTCTCCTTTCGCCTTCTGAGATCCTGCGGGCCTGTTCTGTTAAGAATTCAGAACTCAGCACTCGTCTTTTTTCAAATCTTGCTTCATCGTCCGTTTCTTTTCCGTCTATGATGTTCCAGAGCTTTAGTAATTTGCGATCCTTAATATACTGTAGAGCATTTTGGCTTTCGCAAGTAGTTTCCTTCATTTCGAACTTTTCATTTAGAAGATTTTTGTATCGGAATGCTGCGTTTAATCTGACCAAAAAGTGGAAAGACCAACTTCATACTGAAAATATTTCTGAAAATATTCTTTCTTTGTCTTCATTCAATAACTCATTTCATACAAACCAGGAAACAAAAGTAATCTTTCTCGACATGCTAAAAATTTGAGAAACTTGAAGTTGTTTCAAGCAGGAGAGGCTAGGTAAAATTAGGTTATGTTATTTAAACATGGTAAAGTTAAGATGGCTGTCTTCTTAAGAAGAGAAATACTTTCGTGGAGGATTTTCTGCCGAAAACTAGCTCATATTCCTGTTACGCATGAGGAAAACAACGAAAAACAACCATGCAGCCAGCCTGTTTGCCTGGAATCCAAATTGAACCAGGTCGAACTACCAGTATTCAGTGGCCTTAATTACTCTTCACTAGTAAGACAAAGCTGGAGAAAGAAAACTTTGATAGTGCTCTTGTGATAGAAATAAGTAACCTCCTTTTCTTTTTTTGTCGAGATGAGATGATTTCTCAGATAAGCGCCTGAGAGGTGCAGGAATTCCTGTTTCTTTACCTATTTCCTTTTTAATATAATTTTTCCAGATTAACTGAATGCTTACATTACAAAGACAAATAGCATTAGTTACTACGGGAATTTGCTTCCCAAAATATGTAATTCTTTAGCTATTGGACGCCATTTATATATTCTAACAAGCATCAGTTTTTGATTTTGTGGGGTTTATGCTAGTACGGCAGTTTGAGTACCAATTCTCAACTTTACTAATGCGATCCTAAATTCGGACTATTGCGTAATCTGGATTAAGGGATTTTAAGAATACCGCACTATCACCTGCGTAACATCAGTTATTATGTGTGGGTCGTCGAAAAAGATAGGTAAATCTTTATCATAAATAAGACGAAGAAGGGGACCTAAGATTAATCCCTGGAGAACCCCAGCCTTAATATTTGCAAGTGGAAAAAAGTGTGTTTCATTAACTGTGAAACACCCTATTACCGAGATGGGAGTAAACGAGAATATTTTCCCTGCTTAAATTCCTAATTAATTTGCAAAGAAGACACTTATGTCGGACAAAGTCAAAAGTAAACAAAACTTTTTAGTAAATACCTTCCCCACTGATAAACCTGCTTTGCAAGCAGTATGACCGTCGATACTGTAAACTCGTATAATGCAAATTCATACTGTGGGTAAAAAAGTATTGGCAATTGCCTGTAATTGATCATATTAGCTAACAAAGGAAATGCTTGACAATTTTAGGTGGACGTAATGAATACTGGAGGTAATAAATACACAAATACCCCCTTGATGAAACTTTAATTTTAATTTTCCTTTTACACAAAATATACAACAAAAACGTGAATTTGCATGTCAAAAAATATTGGCAAGATCATACAGCAAATCGCGGGAACAAAATTTAATACTTTGTTTTCATATCGTTTGCATTTATAACAGCTTGTAATCTATTTCTCATAGAGAAAAACAAAGTCTTTGTTGCCCTACTGGGAATTTTGTATCATTATTACAGGAGTACATGCTTAAGTTCATTTTGACACGAAATTTTGTTTACTGACTTCTGGGTCCAATTTTGTGCGATAAACTTTTAGTTGCATTTATGTCAGGCGACTGAGGCGGAGTCTTTAACTGACGAGAAGATTTATTGAGTAACCACTTCCGGGTGAGGTTCGCTATATGCATAGGATTATTGTCCTGTTGAAACACGAATGATGTTCCTAAGCCAAGTTTTGGGAAAATATATTTCAAATAATGGCGCAATATGTCAATGCACATACATGCTGTCATAATACTATCAATGGAGCACAGGTTACCAACTCCGTTTGGGATGCCATACAGCCGCAAACTACGACGCTCATATGATTCATAGTCGGTATTAAATGCTGCGTTTGCAAATGTTGTTTTGTGTTAAATGGTGTTTGGCCTTTTTCCACACATAATTTCGGGAATCACTTCCGAATATGTTAAACTTCGATTCGTCGGAGACAATTACTGTGTTCTAAAACTCGTCTGATAAATTAACATGAGATTTTGCAAAATCTAATCTTTTTCTCATCTTTATTTCTGAAATGAAAGTTTTCTTTTCCCTCGCTGCCCTTCCATAATAACTTCCTTCATATAAAACATTGTGTATATTTGTACACCAAAAGTTTCATGCAAAGTATTAGAAACATCTTTGGCTAACTCGGGTGCACTTACTTATAGTGTTTTTCTTACCCTCTTTGATAATGCAACGTTCTTCCCTTGCAGAAAATATTCGAGACCGTCCACTTCCAATCTTAGTTTTCCTCGATCTTCGACTGGGCCTGACATGTGATGAAGTCCGAAGATGAGAATTCTCCATACGAGGTAGAATTGAAGAGGTGATTAAAAGTTTGATGATACTTTGATGTTTTGTTGGTTATTCTGGCATGCAGCGGGAGATGCACTATTTCTGCTATTTCCAGATTCCTGAATGAGTTCCCTTAGTGTACTAACGTATGTAAAAGTCCAAAAATGAAGCTGAGTTGCCAGTTGAGGTAACCTTGTGAAAGAAAACGAGAAGTGAAGCCCTAAGTTTCGGTAAAAGTTTAGAAGTAACACTGCATACTTTATACTAACAGGATTTCTTATCAATCTAAACACGTGACTTCAAAGTAACAGAATCTGCAGAGCAGTTAGAATTTTACCAATACTTTTTTGATATGCAAATTTGCGTTTTTGTTGATTAAAATGAAAGTTTCATTTGATTTGTGTGTTTATTAACCCATGTGTTCGTTATGCCCAGCTAAAATTGTCAAGCGCTTCTTCTATTAGCTAATATGATCAATTATAGGTAATTGCCAGTACTTTTTTTACCCACTGTAGTTTATTCACAAGTTAATTTTGTATTAGTATGAGAGATTAGAAATTAATTCACTTCTAATAGAAAAAGTGTATTCTTGCCCTGATTTTGGTTAGTATATGTTTATTGTGCGTTGCCCAGAGAAATTAGTGCATGGATGTGTACTAGCCTACGAGTTAAGAATAATATAGCGCATCAAATCAAATCAGTTTGTGTGCGGAAAATTCGACCCCAAGTAGTCGCTATATAAGTGGTTAAGTGACTGCGTAAAACATGGAAGGTTTTCTGTTTGAAGGAAGGGATGATTTGGGCAGAATTTTCCAAGTAACGCTAGCTGCTATTCAAGTTGCACACAAATAAAAGCACAGAAACTCCATATAGTCAACTTTTAGCCAAGAATGAATGATTTGATTTGAGTTGTCAGTTTTACTATTGGCAAAAGATTTTGCATCATTAAAAACCATACCTGTCTTCCTTGTTCTCATATTCTTTTCCCCTTTCAGAAACGATAGCTGTCTCTGTTCTTTCAAAGGTAGTCTGTATGTTATTATCAATGTTTGGGAAGTGTTACAAGCTCCTCATGCTTTAGCCTCATAGGTACTTCTTTGTTTTCGCAGCCCCAGAGATTGAATCTCCAATCAATACAGATATCTTGCCAAAATCTGGCTGCGTGGTCTTATACCTCGCCACGTAATTGTATATTAACACCGTATTGCATTTTTGCTCTTACAGCGTGGTCTTTTACTATCCATTTTTGATGAGGTTTTCGAATTCATGTTGTTTATTTAAAAATATATTCATTTCTTTTTGCGAATATAACATTAACAATCTTTAACTTACCAAGTAATGAGGTGGATGCCATATCATTTTTTCAAAAAAGAAGTCTTTTGCCTGACAAACGAGTCATCCTTGCGCAGGAGCGATGCTAATTTTCTCTGGTATCGTTCCAATTTCAGTATATGTACTGCTGAGCGAAATTGGCTACAATATAAAACTTTATGTTAACGACGGAACCATTTGGAGATGTAGTGTTAAAAATGGAAAAAGAAGAGGGGTCTCCGTGTTGGAAATTAGTTGCCAGAATAGCATTCGTCACTGTTATTATATTTATGTATTCTTGGGCAGAGGAGTTGACGTCCATGAAATGGTGTAACAAACAGTTTTAATATGTGTGAGAGTGTTATAGTTGACTGGAACAATTACATGCGATAAAGTGATAATAATAAGGATACGGATAAGGATTCTTAAAAATATTCTTAGGAAATGACATGTGAGTATTATTGTTATTATTATGTATTGTGTTTATTTTTACATTCTCGCCTCACGAGCTTGGTGATATTATAGCCAAGATCTTGGCGCAAATTTAAAATCACTAAACATGATTGGAAGCTGCTATAGCAAAGAAGTACCTGGAAAACTTAGACTTACTATCTAAACTTTGTCAAGTTTCTCTTTAATAGCATTTCTACTACGCGTTTTTATTGTATTGATAACGAGTTCAGTGCCACCATAAAACTCAAAAGACAGAAGCAATATTTAATTAAAGAAAAATTGATTTTTAGATTTCATTATTTCATGGTATAAATTCATAATGCTCTGTTCCATTCGTTTATAGTGGCCACATTTAAATGAATGTTCCATTCCTTGATCTGATGGCTTCAGTAACGAAAGAGGCATTTGATGGAAAAGGTTTCAGACTGAACACCCGACAGCTTCTCACTACAGGATTTTGCGGAGCAATTGTTTAAATAAAGCAAATTTTGCTGCCTTGTGATTTTAAATTTTTGTGCTAAGCAAACTTTTAGTATTTTGTTTCTTGAAACATCAAGGTGATTTATATTTGGGTATCGCGAAGGATTTTATACTTTCATGATGCTCACAGAGCTGGTAGCTTACAAAATATCATCTAAATTTTACTTATATTTAACTACTAATAGGTAGCGTTTGACTTAACAAAAGTTGTCAAAATAAGACAATTAAAGATGTCCCATATCTTTGTCGGATTTTGTTCCCATTTGTTTTGTATGGCGCAATCATTTTAAAAAGTTATTACCATTCAGGGCTTGCAATAAAATTCAAACTTGATAAACTTATAGTATCGAACTATCGTAACAAGTCATATGTACGATAAACTATCGTAATAAGTCATACGTACGATAAACTATCTTATCAAACTCGATAAACTTAAGGTAGGACTTTTTCTGCACAATCATGAGCTAATGCATGAATTCGCTTGATACTGTTATCAGTATCTGAATAAAAACATAATTTTCTTTTGATTCTTTCAAAGCAGCGCTTGGCAATTTATATCATTTGGCAACCATATTTAGCAAAGTCTTTGTACTCTCTGCAGAATCCTAGTAAGAAAATGGTGTCGCATTGTTACTTGTGCTTATAAATTAGTTTCTAGCTTAATTATCGCATCATTATTCTTAAGATTTACTGAATGGTACTTTTAAGTTTAATTTTATCCGGTTTCCCTTGGTTCGTCATAATACTCTCTCAAATCAGAAGTTTATGCAAATGAAATGATAAGCGGGATGTTTAAAAGTAGGATGTTAGTCTTATGCAATGAGCCAGGTGCAGCTGTTATCGAGTTGAGGCCGGCTTGCTTGTGAAAGTCGCCTGCAGTAATTGTTAAGGAAATACCGAGAGGAGTTGACTGTGTTCGGTAAATCGTTTCAGTGGTAATGTATTTCGAATATGGTAAAGCACGCAAGGGATATCTGCCTGAGAAGAGAGATAGCTTCCGTGCGGACTTCCTAAGGGAAACTACCTCGTATTCAAGTTTCTCATTGGAAAAATCATGAAAATTAACCATGCAATCAGCTCGTTCGTCTGAGATCAAACTGCCAGGTTTAGCGGTCTTAGCCACTCGGTCATTAGTATAACTTAATGGTTTAAGAAGTTAGGTGTATTTTTTTCGATTGGCCGAGTGATATGATCGTTGAACACTGGTAGTTCGACACCCGTTTCAAATCCCGGTAAATGAACTAGCCGCATAGGTTTTCCCGGGTGGTTTTCTTACATGTGACGCCAATACGAGCCAGTTTCCTAAAAAAGTACTCCATGAAGGCATCACTTACCTTAGGCGTCGTATGTCTTATCATAATCGAAATAACCTGCATCCGTTTTGAACAGAGAGGTTTGTAGAGTTGAGTCTACATTACTATTGTAAGTATCGGAATGCTTGCATCACGGCAAGATACCTGTCTTGCACGATGGAGGCTCGATTTAGTTTATGTTACCATTTTAAGTTTTGAGAAACTACCAAGACAGGTCATATTCTTCTGTTAAAACTTTGACATTTGAATTGGACACTTTTATGAAGATAGCTAAGAAGTACTAAATAAAATATTAGATTAATTTCTGTGGATAGCCATTAGGTGTTTAAAGGCAAGTTTGAAATTATATCTCACCACAGGAATTCTACGGTTAAAGCAAGATTTTTATAACTTTAATTCTATACATACTTTTAATGCGTAACTTACAATTCTAGATAAACTAGTAATTACTGCTAAACACTAAAAGACTAGTAAGCGTTACATTTAATACGAATTAAATTGGTTACGTTACACAAATTAAAGCAATTGATTATAAGTTGTCATTTAAGACATTATATAACTGTAAAGTTTTAAGTCTGTTAACCGAAAAAAAATGTTAATGATAAAATAGTTTATTCCAAGTAAATAGCACGCAAGATCTCAACACTCATCTACATTATTTTTAACTCAAGTAATAGCCTAAATTTTAACAAAATCTTCCCTCAAGTTTTGAAGATTTAAATTGCAATAATAATAATTTAATGAGTCAAATTTTGCATCAAATCTTTGAGTCAAGTTTAACAAAAACAACACACTTAAGCCATCGCTTTTATTAGATAGCGAGGTACAGAAGTTAAACATTTCCTCGAGAACACACATATTATTAACGCTTTTAACGGATTTTTTTTGTCTGGAGGAAGGGAGAGGTGTTAAGATAATTACTGTAAGATTAACGAAAAAAGAAGACAACATAAAACTTTTTTTATCAGATATTTCTAAATATTTCAGTTTTCATATCCATTTTTAACTAAATTAAATGATACAATTTTAAATAATCAAAGTAGATGGAAATTCTTTAGGAAAAAAAGACCTAAAAATATAAAATGGCTCATTTAAAGCCTTATTATATTTAAAGCCTTAAGACGTGAAAATATCGCTTAAGGCAGCCTGAAAACTCTTCAACTCTCACATACCAGCGTGTTTTCCCATATGTAAACGCGCAATCGAAATTGCAAAAAAAAAAGGGAGAATTAAGTATAAAAAATGGCTTTACTGAAAACTGTTAAGGACCGAAAACTTGAAAATATGTCTTAAAGCAGCTAGAAAGTATTAATTATATTTCAACATGTTTTCACATCTAATAATAACGGAATTAAAAAATAAAACCTTGAAGAATCAATACCAATCTAAATACTTAAAAAAAGGAAAACTAAAAATAATAAATGGCTTCTTTAAAAGTTTTGATGGGAAGTAAGATGTGAAAATATCTCTTTAACATTAATTATAATACAGTACCCGCCTCCGCAAAGATATTATAACTCTTTGCAGAATTCCTGGTAAGAATCCTTTCTTATTTTTATTTTGAACAACCGGAACTACCTTTTTGTGGTGGAACGATTCTTCTCAACGTTCCTAATTTGGTGACTGGAATTCCTACTGCTCTTCTGCACTTTGTATTGTGCGATATCTGCGATTTTCTGGACATCGCGAAGAATGCGGTTTTCCGGTTTGTAAAATCTAGCGACACTAATTTTTTCTCCAATGAGTGTTGAGCCGACTGGTTGAGCTTGCTAGGCTATGGAAATGAGACTACGAAAAATTCTTTTGAAGACCGAAAGGAGTAAAAACCGGTTCTGCGTTTCTTGAGGCTTTAATAGTCTGTATCTTTTTTAATGTAGTGTTGCATTTCGCCTTGTTTTGTTACGTCAGTTACTAAATGAGGTAATCAAAGCTGATGCACCTACGGGTAGCTCTAAATCGACTCATAATGATTTATGTGGAGAAGCAGAAATTTTCTTCAGAGATTCCTGCTTTGATTGAGCCGATCAGTAATAGCAAATTATGAACAACCCTAATCTTAATTTCGTTTTTTTGGGGGGAGAGGAGAGGTACAATACATTATTAGTATCAACTTTCTGTTTTTTTTTTAGGAAAAGGAAGCGGTTTTGGTTTAGATGTTTTAGTGTTACCAAAAGTATCAATTGTTTCTTTAGTTGTGAGTATTTCTTGTGCATTTGAAAGAAACTGATTGATTTACTTTTCCACGGCAATGGGGGAGAAAAATTCTCTTTTACCCTTTTACCTTTTTTGGTATGAAAATTCTCTTTTACCTTTACTAACTCAACTTTCATTTTGTTACTTTCGATGAGACTTAATATAATTATTCTCATTGCCTTTTGAGCATTACTAAATGCTGTTTTTAATATTAGATTTTGACATTCTAGCACGTAAACTTAAATGTAGCAGTTTTAGTTGGCTTCCAGTATTATAAAAAAAAATGTTAATGAACGATTTTTTACAGCAGCACAAAATAATTTTTAATGTTGTCCATTTCACTGTATTTGCATTTTATTACTTTACAAAAAGTTCTGACCCATTTCATTTGTTGAATTTTTATGCATTAAAAATAAATTCTGAACATAGACATAGAATACCACGAGCATGTCAACATAGAATAACACGAGCTTTAAATAAACTATCACTTCCAGTTGAACGATTGTAAAAAAAATCTAATTTGTTTATAAACTTTATGGTTCAGTATTAATTATAGACAGTACTCATTTTCTATTCTCCCAGGAGAATAATAACTATATGTGCTTTTGTGCACATCAGTTCTCATGCTTTGATGCGAAATTATCGCATCGTTCTAAGTATATCCTCTTGTCATACAGTGTTTGGATTCACAAATGTATGACTTTTTATATCCACTATAT